AATATGTGTGTAGGGTTGCACTGATTGCAGTTTTCTGGCCAATCGCCAATTACCAATCTTTAAAAAGTCTGGCCTGCCCATTTTGATTTTGGCTGATATGATTTTTTTTTTCTGTCTGAAATGTCCCTAAATATAGCAAGAAAGTCACTGAGTTGTAACAGTGGGGTGAATATTGTTAACTGTAAATGTTGAGACCTGATTTGGTGGGTCAGTCAAAGCTCTCACTGTAGAGCAGGAAAGGACAGAGGATGATTTATAAACCTTTGCTGATGAAGATAAGATTAGGGAATAAGATGGGCTTCACGTGTAAATCACAATCCCCCAAAATTAAGGAAATCGGCGCCCAGAAATCAACTGGTTGATAAATCAGTTGGCCAATAAATGTATCCTATATTATACATGTATATAATGTAAAGAGCACTGCCAGAGATTAAATAAGTTTATAGCAGGTGTGTGAATGATTTAATAATCGGACTGCTGATTGCAGCCAGTCCACATTGTTAGCAGAACTAGAGGGCCCCAAAACCATACTTTGCTTAAGGCCCCATGGTGGCTTGGGCCGGCGCTGGGACATCGTATTGAGATATTTACTGTTTACATTGCTCAATGGAAACATTCTTCAAAACACCATTATAATCTTTATCGCTACTGACAATTTTATTTCAACATACCCAAACTCTGCATTGATCCTTTCATAAAAAAAAGAAAATCCTAATATGAGCTCTTCAGATTATGGGATGCATTAGCTGCATGATCAGACTTTAATGTGTTTATTTCTAAATTTACCTTTCTGGAAAAATGTTAAAAGCAAAGAAGGACCTGGTTTTAAGAGTCACAATTTTAATGCAAAGAAACAAAAAGTCAAATCTTGCATTTTGTATATTTGCTGTTTAGAAAAATCAGGGGAGTTACTTTAGAGAAAGTTTGTGCAAGAAAAGCACAGACTCCAAGAAAAGCACCCTGAGTAACTCCTTTTAAACATTCTTGTTGTTCTATATTGTTTTATGTTTTAAAGAAAAACAATCAGACTATGTTACTTATTTGGACAAATTTGATCTTACTACAAACCTTTGAGCAGTAGTATTTACACAAATACAAAAAGAAATCTTTGTTGATCCTAAGTTGAGTTTTAAATTGTATTTTTTTCTCTTTTAGGCATTTTTATTCAATGTTTTATTTTTAGAGTTTTGTAAGAACAATTTACCATCATAACAGAGGAAGGGTTTTCTTTCATCACAGTTCTCATTCTTCCATCTGCCTCCATCATCAAACACAGTCATGGCACATTGACCACTGTTGATTTTCTGATTATTAAACTTCAGATTCCAGTGTCTGAAGGAGGAACTGTTTCCATCTGACCACATCCAGGTGTCACTAAACAGACAGATAAATATGTACCTTGAATTTGCAGTCAAATTTAACCCCTTGTTCACCTCTCCAGCCTTTAGCTGCTTCTTTCCACTGATCAGGTCTGTGTGTTTCTGTCTACAGTAACTCTGAGCTTCCATCCAGTTCGTCGACTCATAAATCAAGCCGTATCTCTGTGATGAATCATTTTCTGTGAAATAAACAAGTCAGAGCTCAAAACACTTTCACGTGTAAGTTTTAATACAAACATGAATGAGAGGATTTAGACAAACACAGAGGACTGTTGTCTCACCATGATAGCAGAGAAAATCCAACAGCTTGATGTTTGGTTGTAGACTGTCCTCAGTGAAATGCTCAGTGCCTGATGTTGATTTTTGTTTTAGCACCGAGACTAAATTTGAGTATTCAAACCATAAACTAACCTGATATGCTGATGTTTACATCCTGTGATCCAATACTACTATTATTTACGCCATAGTCTTAATTTTCCAAAATACTGATTTTGTTCTTAAAAGTATTGTTTTTTTGTCTGATTGGCCACTGCAAGATACTATCATTTTTCAACATCATTTGATCCAAGTTATATTGTTCCAGTTTAATATCGCTGTAAACATTTAGTGGGGCAACAAAGAAATTCAAAAAGTTGTCTGACTTTAGCATAAAAAAGTTAATAACACTTTAAATGGAATTTCATTGTATTTAATTTTAACTTGATTTTACTAAGTGCAAAACAGGTTGCTTGAAAATGGCACACTAAAAGTTCATTTTAATATTTCTAAAATATAGTCAGTACATTAAATTTTAGTATTTTTCATCTGGGATGATTCTGACAGCAAATGTAGTTCCAGTAGCAGGTTGGACATAAACACAAGAAAAGTAGACATGCTAATGTTTTTTATTCTCAGTTTGATATTTATAAAGTATATCAACAGTTGATGTTCTGGTTGAAAAAGTTGTTTTACAAATACAGATAAGTGTTAATAGTAAGTTCAATACTGACATTTTATTTTGGTATTTTCCAAATAAAATAGTAACCATTCACTATAGGAGCTGGAACTTATTTTTATTATGGAAAAAAATACACATCAGTCAGGACAGGTTGTCTGAATCAAGGAAGAACCCTGAAGCCATGGTAACTGAGCTGTAACCATGACGATCAGTCTGCAGGTCACGGACGCAACTACATACTTTATGAGGTGTATGCGAACATGTCATGGTTTTAAACATTTTTTTAAAAAAACCTTTAAAAAAATGTTACTGTTATGTCAGCACATATCATCAATGCTGGCTTTGCTTAACAATCCCATACAGGATTGATTTCAAAACCCTAAAATTAGTGTTAAGGCTCTTCGTGGTCATAAAACAAGTTAAAGAGTCTGAAAAAGACGCACCATTTCCTGATCGTAACAAATGAACGCCCCTTTCTAAAGCTTCTGGACGCTACTAAACCACAATGAGGAACCATTAGCCACAAACAGGAAATACCTGGAAGGAACTTTCTCGGGAGTGGCTGACAATCACTCCAAGAGTGCAAAGAAGACTCACGCAAGAGGTCGCAAAATAATTCAGAAAAAAAAAAAAAAAAAAAACATCTGAAGCCCTGCAGACCTCAGATAAGTTCAGTGATCATGATTCAGCAGAAGGATAGAAACTGGGTCAGAACTCAGATCTTCATCTGAGAGTTACAAAGGTTGAAACTCATCGTTCACCCAAACAGGACCTGAAGCCCATTAGTCCAAAAATCATCTTGTGAACTGATGGGACAAAAGTGGAACTTTTTACAAGCTGTGTGTAATATTATATCTGTTGTAAAAAAAAAAAAAAAAACACTGTACAGAAAGTCCAACATGTGGTGTGATGGTCTGTGGCTGCATTCTTTGCTACACTGTACTATCACTCATGGTGTTAAAAAAAAAAAAAAAACAGGAAGGAGAATGTCCGCCCATCAGTTTGTGACCTTTGGGTCTGCATAACCTATGCAGGTCGACCAGCAAGTCTACCTTCAAATAATAATTAAAACAAAATGAAGGTCTGGGAGGTGATGGGATCTGATTGAGACGTTTCCTCCAGAGCGATGTCAACGGCTCATTAGCATTTATTGCAGTGGATGGTTGGTTTTGTTTGTCGTTTTTCTTCCTTTGTTGTTTTTCTTCCTCAGTAGACGAACTGACCGTGGTTATTAAATTCAAAAATTTGCATGGTGATATAGTGAACAAAATAATAAACACAAAAACTGTATTGAAAGAAATGATCTTTTTTAACCTTAAAGTGTTTGCAGATATTTCTCTGTATACTCAACCTGCTTCATGCTCTACATTCACAGAAGCTTCCTCCACCCCTCCCTCCCTCCCTCAGTTTTTTTTTTTTTTCTAACTTTGCTGACTGCAGCGAGCAGAAGAGGAAACAGACACTGCTCCGCTCCCCACAGAGATGGCTGGTGGTCGCTTTCGCTGCCTGAGCTGCCTTCTCGCGTACACGGCCGCGCTGCTTCTCGGGGTCTCCCGCCACGGTACGTGACCTGGTCTGCCCCTCATGTTTACTGCCATGGATGGTGATCGACCTCCCGGTTTTCTGTAGTTGTGACTTTGACAAAGAATTACGATTCGGTTCCTTAGAACGGGATATTTGCATACCTCCTTGGAAAAGGAGGTGTTGTTTCTTCAATGTTTTTTTTATTCTTTCCTCGTAGTGCATTGTTTTTTGTATTGATTTTTCAATACAATATCTTATCATTAAGAAGGTTTTCTTAAAATATTAACTCCTGTCTGCTTTTGAAGCTGAAGTTGCATAATAATTTGGGAATTGGAACATGGAAAATTTGTGTTCTGTGACGATCTGAATTTATTCTCCTTGTCCTTTGTGGCTGAATATTAAGACTCGGGAGTTGCATGTTTCTGTGTTGGCAGATTTCCTGCTACATATGTATGGAAACCTTTGCAACTTGGAGATAGATCATCTTTTCTTTTTTTGTCCCACTCCTAGTATGTCTCTGCAAAAAAAAGATGGTGTGATAAGAAACTCTTTAATGTGCAATTTTTTCTCTCTCTCTTACTTCATTATTGTGGCTTTTTACCAGCCACAGTCATTTCTGTAATTTTGTTTTCTTTACGCAGGCAGCGATTCAAACGAACTCAATTTATGCCGATATCTCAGATTTTTCATCTGCAGTTGTAAGTACACACAAGCCTTACAATGAGCAAATGTTTACAGTGATTTATTGTTTCCTGAGTTTTTTTTTCTCCTTAATACATACGAATGCAAACCTGCAGGGTCCCTCTGATAAGCCCTGCTCTCTGTACGACACTATTGACACCAGAAACAGCCCGGATCACCAGATGGTAAGAGCTAAACCTCAGCGGTGACCCAGGAGGGCGCGAGTTAGGTGGTGCAATAGCTCCCCCTGGTGGATATCAGATTATTACTTTCCTTTTCATTCAAGTTAATATTATGTGGTTGTTGCAATATTTTCCTCGCACAACACAGCTTATTAAAAAAAACCCACCAATGATTGTTGTTGAGTAAAAGTAAATTCCATCTCGCGACAGGAAATGAACTTGTACGCCTATTTTCACTTCCGATAAACAATTGAAAGCAGCACAATGCGAAAATGGATTGTTTTATACCTACATTTTAAAGGATGGGGGCTGAGGCAGAGATGTCTGTCGGTTTACATTGAGAACATATTATCCTTGGCTTTTACAACTAAGAATATATATATATATATATATATA